AAGTGGAAAGGATCTTTCCTTCTTCCCTCCTGGACTTCTATTTGGAGGGGAGAAGATATTTGATCCATTGTAAATACTTTTATGTCATGGTAGAGATAATTAAGATTGTATATAATGTATTGTAGTATTTATTTTGTACAGTCATTGTAATATATATTCCCTTTCCCCCATTTTGAGTCTTGTGTGGTGTCTGGAAAATCCATCTCACCCTGGGTTGAGATGTGGGAGGGGGGCTTAGATTAGGGAATTGGATTTTTGAGGTTCTCAAACCATGACAAGCTCAAAGAGAACAGTGGGTTAAATTATACATTCCTTTGTGCAGCAGGGTGCACAGATTTTCTGCTGATTTTAGTATGAAATGCATATATTTTTTCTATGCAGCATGTAATAAAGTCTTCAAACCAGGAAATATCCATTTTCACAAAGGCAGCAGAGGTCTGAATTCATGGTCTTCTCATGGGTAAGCTGTAAGATTTGTGAGCTTGGATAACTGGCACTGCCAGCGAAGGTCACGAAAGTGAGATCACTCTGTTGTACCAGGGGATTTAAGACTCTTATAAATTCTGAACTCTAATACAAAATGCTCTTTCAAGACAACAGTGCTAGTAATTTTGTTTTGCTTTTTGCTGGGAGAAGGCTTTGATAGACAACAGCTTTGTGTCATGTAAGTTGTGTTTGCAGTTCCAGTTGAGTGTTATGAGAATGCTTTTTCATATAGTAGCTTTTTCTTTTAAACTTTTTACAAACTTTATATACAACAGCAGTTTTAATACTATTGCCTGGTATTATTGTGAATTTCTAAGCAACTCACTTGGTTGCACAGTTGCTTCTACCAAATGCAAACTAGTGATGTCTATGTGGCTGCTAACACTGAAGGTACCGGGACAAAATATCTTCAGGAATACCAGATGTTTTGTTAGGGATGGCTTCTAAACCCTCTGAAATTATAATCTAAATGCACAAGAACTGTAAGTGAATAAACCAGTAAGGAATATAATACACATAGCAAAGTATCTGACTGAGATTTAGACTGGAACATTTCGAAACTCAGATAACTTAGTCCGATACACATCCGGGTTTCACTTGCATACAACAGACCTATGTGGGAATGTTAGTGTTTATTTACCTGTTAAGATTATGCTTATTTGGAGTGGAGGGTAACATTCTGACTAATATATGAAACAGTATGGTCCAGATACACTGTAAAGTGTCTTCAAAGAGATCAGCTTTTAGCTGAGTGCTTCATCCACTTCTCACTAGCCCCTATTTTGACTAAGAGGATGCATCCTGAGATCCAATAGCCATAGTGAAAACAGTCTTCCTTTGTGAACATGACTATTTACGTCAAGGAATATATTCTGTTAAAAATGCAACCTCATCAAAGGTAGCTTAAAATCAGTGTCCCTCCAAATTTTATGGAGAGATGGAAGAAATCTCATTAGAATTTGTGATAAGTTTCCCAGTACACTCTTTTTAGCAACAAAAGTTTAGGGTATGGTCAATAGGATTTCTTACATCTGGGAATATAAAAAAACCCCTCAACAAACTCTTGGCTTTCTTTTCTCACTGCAATTAATTCCAAGCCAGTGAATGTGGAGTCATGACTGAATGGATTCATGACTCAATACTTTTAGAAACCTGACTCCAGCAACATAACTGAAAATAATTTTTTCTTTCAGGAGCTGAACAATGATAACAGTGAATCCATGAAGCCATCTATGCCAGGCAGTTAGCCTGGAAAGACAATGTAAATTCACCTCTGATCTGTATGTACCAGTTAAACCTTCTGTTAAATCGAGGAAGTGAGGTGCTTGTGGTGCTTGTTTTCCTTCATTACCTTCTAGGACATCCAACATGTGATGACTGCAAGATGAAGAACAGACCTCTGACATGACTACTGGCCTCAGAGCAGCAGAGTGGCATGGTGGGCCTGCAAGCTGCAGGGCTTTCACTGTCTTTTCCCCTTTTCACCTTCTCAATTTCTATTTAAAAGTTACATGGGATTTTTTAAAGAAGTGCTCAAATTAATTAGAGCAAATCACCACACAAATCATCTTGCCCAGTCAAACGCCTAAGTGAAATGGTGTATTTTTACAAATTCAGCAGATTTAGGTGCTGTTTTGAAGACCCAGGCAGCACACACACTGAGTAGTTAGGACACGCAATTTTCTACATTTATTTTACTGGTTACCAGACAGCCCAAATTGGTGGAAGACTGACATTTCTTCCCAGTACCTTGTGACAGTTTATGTTCATGCAGCAGTAGGTTTTAAGTGGGTATCAGTATCGAAACAGTCAATCAATATCGTCAATAAGTGGTGGCTTTACTGCAACTTGTCCAAGCAGAGAGACTAAGACCGTGGGAATACATCGAACTGCTTAGCCCTTATCTCTTAAGTACACAGCATAGCTTGAGGGCTGGGCATGATGGCAGCCCAGAATTTGGGGGTTGATAGCAATAGCTGTGTTCCAAAAGCTCGTACCTCCTGGCTGGGCTATGGGGATCTCAGTGGCCTTACCCACAGCAGGCCAGGACTGAAGCATGATGGTGTGCCCAGCTCTGCTGCCACACCAGTGGTGAGCAAGAACAACTTGATCAAAAGAGACAATGACATTTATAAGGAAGAAAAGAAAAAAAAAATGTCATGTACCTGGGCAGTAAAAGTGCAGATGGCAGTGACATTTAAGGGAAGACACAAACTTTCAAAACCTGATAGTCATTTGTATATGTAGGCAGGTCTGGCAAAGCAGGTAAACCTTGAGACTACTTGAAAACTACTTGTGATTAAACTGATATTCCAGGCAAAATCTACAGGGAAACAGACACTTTTTTGATTCAGAGGCTGCTAACAGCACATGACTCTGGAACAATTTATTAAGTAAGAATTAAATAAAAAAGTGTCTGGACAAAGGAGCCCCTAAAGCCTGCTACTCTTAGAATTAATAGAGTAGGGCCTCAGGCAAAGACAAAGCAGAGGACAATTACTTCAGATTTAATAGGTGGTGTTTGCAGCTGTACAATACATCCAGGATAACACTGTATTACTTGTTCTAGTTTCTGAAAATTTAGAACTCAGGAATAAAATACAAATGGTTATAAAGATGAATAATATTAAGTGAAAAGCTGTAAGTCAGCTATGAGATCAGCTTTTAGTCACAGAGATGCACAGAGATGTTTTCTGGCATACATGTCATTTGCAGTGTTGTTTGTCTGGCATTGGTTCCCAGTGGATTGAAGAAACTAATGTTTGAGTAACAGAATATAGGATTTTAAAAATGGTCCTTGTAGTAACTGAACAAATAAGTGAATGCTGTGAGCAGAATGACTTCATCCTTTTGCACCATTGTAAAAAATATTTCTCTAAAATAAACTATAAATGCAATAACACGATGTTGGCAACATGAACCACAAGACCACTTGAAAATCTATCACATTGATTTTAGTATCTTTTTGAACATATATGTGTTTAACTAGACAATAGAATTATCCAAAGTGTTACTATAGTTTCATGGTCTTGTACAAATTGTGCTCATCAGAGCTTGAATTTAGAGGTAAAATGAGAGTGGAGGAGAAGGGAAATTCCAACCTGCGTTACAAAGTGTATAGGCAAGCTATTTCGAGGAATTGCCTCATACATCTTTGACACATGGCAAAAAACCCCTCAAGTTATTTAACTTTTATACTTTGACAATGTTGTGGCTAAAGTTCCCACTTGTGCTATCCTCTGTGATTTGTTCCGGGAGAACATTTTTCTTCCAGACAACTTCAGCAGGAAAATACTCTTGCATTTTCATAGGAAAGTACTATATTAATTCTGGCTTATTAAACTGTTCCAGCAGAGGATTTCATAGCATTACAGAGATATGAAATGTCAAACATGTGCATACTGTATCGCATCACTCTGCTAATGCCTAACTACTCCCTGTGCTATGCAAAATGTGTTGTAACTCCAGGGCTTGCCATAATCTCAACTGAATATCTTTTTCTGGTGTTCAGTTTCCATTTGTTTCTGCTTAATGTTCTTGAACACTGGGGAAGCTAGGTAGTGGTTGTGTGTATGACGGAGATGGGAAGAGCCAGGGACAGAGCATCCCCAACCTCCTCCTCCAGGACAGAAACACCAATTTCCGCTTTCTGTTGACTTGTAAAACTCCAAGTAAACCACAAAAATGTCAGCACATTCATTATCACAGTAATTGCTTTGTCTGGGAGAAATAATTCTTTTAATGTTAATTTTGGTGGGAAAAAATATATACTTTGGGTCAAGCCAGATGTAATTACTTCTCTTTACAAAAGAACCAAAAAACTGGTCCATCCAGTACGCTTGTTTAAACTCTAACATACTTAAAGAGATGGCTTATTCCCCAGTGTATCTTCCCAAGTATTTCCTTGTAATCATTATTTCTTCCTTTATTCAATCCTTCATTGCCTGTGGATGAAGAGAGAGAAGACACCAGCACTTTGGATCTAACTCAAGATTTCTGTTATTCTAGTGAATATCAGATGAACACAACTGGCAGAACTTTCAGTTCGAAGGAACTTTCAATTTTGAAAAAAAATTGAATTCAAATTGTTGCAGTTTGAAAAGGTATAATTAATGTGTCTATGAACTGAAAGTTTCTCTGGCAGACTTATTTGACATTGATTGACTAATGCACATCTTGGGGTACATAAAATTAATTTTACTAATTAGTGAAAATGGTAACTAAATTGATGCGTTTTCAAGCATAACAACATATCACTCTCTTGTCTCAGAAAATAAAATCTTTGGAAGCTGAGATATCTTCAACAGAGCTTTGTTGTGAGTTCTTTATTTTTTGTGAAGATCCATTACTCTCAAGGACTGACAGTCAGGAGGGACAGGCACGTTTATCCTGGTGTCATACCTCCTGGTATGAGAACTCCTGGATTAATACCAGCGTTTCTGTAGGGTTCAAAGGTAGCAGGTTCCTGACTTGGCTCTGTATTAATAAAATATTAAAAAGAACTTTGCTTGCAGATTACAAGACCAGGAAGGTTTGGATGCTGTGAATGGGTATGAAGAGAGAAAGTGGGCCCCTCCCTTTCACAATGGAGCTACATCCTGGGAACAGCCGTGTCACCAGGTAAAGGAACTATGGGAAGAAGTGAATAGGCTATACAGTATTAAAGAAAAGGACTCAGTGATCTTGGTGGTCTGCTTCCAACTCAGAATATTCTGCGATTCTCTCATTCTCTGACAAAGTTGAAGGAGGAGCAACTCTGTGGTCCTTGTGTTGCTTCAGAAAAATGATTTGATTTTCTGGATGCTGAATGACTCTACCAAAAATTCATGAATTCTGTGGCAATTATTGTTTTCTCTGGAGACTGCTATGAGATCATCAGAAATGCTGAATGTTATGTGTGGAGATGAGAGCTGCAGGGGACAAAAAATAACTGATTTATTGGAAAACCTAATAGACGAGTAATATGTGGGAGGAGAAGAGAGAAAGGAGATGAAGACTGCAAGGATGTTATTTTGTCATTTCAATCTCATATTTATTTTATTTATTTTTTAATACCAATGAGACATGTCTCGGCTCTTCCCTGGGACACAACATGACCTCCCTGGACATCCGGCCTGTGGAAGGACAAGGAGGGTGAGAGTCCATTGATTTCAAAATGTAGCATCACTTTCTCAGCCCAGGAGATCCCCCATCAGTGGGGAAAATATGGGGAAGAACTCCATCTTTTTTCCATCCTCCTGATCCTGGGAATGTAAGCACAATGCCTGGGACTGGGAAATCACCCACTAGCTGCAATTCTGACCTTGGGGTTCCCTTATCTCCAAGACATTTGTTTCTGTCCAGAAGATGGGGGTGTTGCAGGGAGGCCATCAGTTCTACAGGGTGTATATGGGATGCCCTTGAGTCCCCTCTTTAGGGGCCCTCTGTGGCTGACAGATACAGGTTATTTGGTCTGTTAGTGACAGTGTGACAATTTCCTTGGCTTTCCAAGCGAAATTCCTCTGTCTTCTCTCCACTCTTTCTCTTGCTCATCACATGCTGCCAACAGCCGAGACACTATGTTTTGCTGTATTTCAAGCAGTAACACTGAGATTCTGCTTTTGAGTTTAGAAAAAAAGAATGTGATCCAGAAAAATATGACTATAAAACCCAGTGAAGAAAAGCAATGTTTGTGTAGTAGCAGTGGGCTCACAGGCAAGTCAGAGGTCTTTTAAAAGTAATAATAATTACATTTGACGAAAAATATATACTACCATGGAAAGGAAGGGCGAAAAATATAGCACTCTTGTCCTTGCTTCAAGAAGTTGCAAGCACAAGTGGCATCATCTAACAAGTGATGGCTGGTCCTGCCACTGGCATGGCCAGGATGAGGGAGATGTGGGGTTTGCAGGGAGATGCCAGCACCAGTAGCCAGAGCCAGAGGAAGCATACTCCAGCCAGAGTGATGTGGAAAAGACAGGAAAGGCACCAAATTAAGTTGGAGTGGTGCCATGTAGCAAACTTCACACCTGTCAAGTGGCAGCAGCATCCACTGGGCAGTATTCTGCTGACCTTGCTTCTCACCCTCCCAGGTCCTTTGAATTTTGTTTGGAGGGTCCTTTGAATTTTGTATGTGATGGGGTCAGGATTTTGATTTCCAGGGTAGAGTAGCATGTTCACACTGCCAGACAGACTGAGTGCCTGTAAGGTAAAACATACGCGGGTATTCTTCCCACGAATGCCAAGGTAGTGGAAGAATTAAAAAAAAGGTTTATGTCAGATGCAAGGACCATTTCTTAAGGAAGATGCATGCATGGGGTCCTCAGGGTAAACAGGCAATGCCTCACCTTCTTCAAGGCTTTTTCTATCTTCTCTCTCTCCTAGCCCACCCACTCTGGCCCAAGGAGGACTTGTACATGTCTGCAAATATGTCATCTCTCTGCATATCAGGGAGATAGCTTGCTCACAGCTTCTCCCTGCAACTTTCTCTGAAATGCAGAAGGAAGGAAAAAAAAAATCTAACCCATTTCAGGAGGCATTTTACAGTCCTCCTAAGCGAAATTGAGTTCTCTTTTTCTGTCAGAAATTCTTCCAAAATTGTACCTATCCCTACGACGCCAGAGGGGTGAAGCAGAGTGGTGGCCATGGGCACTTGTGTCGTGCCCCCTCAGGTAACTCAAAGTGAGAAGGTGCAGGGTTGTATATGCTGCTATTCTGTCAGTACCAAAGGAGCTTCGGCTTTAATTGCTGTCTTTATAGATCAGAGCAGCATTGGCTTGAACAGCTTGTCCTTTTGGTCTGTTTTAGGCGAATCAACATGTATAAGTGCTTCCTCCCACATCATGGCAGTTATTGCTTTCGCTGCATTAAAAATGGCTCCCAATTTAGCTGTGTTGTTCAGAGGGAGGATCTGCAGTCTTGTCTTGGGTGAGGATTTAGCTGAGACACCAGAATAGCAAGATCTAGCAACAGAAGAGCATTGAAAACCTGCAAGATCCTGCTGTCACCAGTGTGGGGGAAAAGTCATGGCTCTGGAATGGGGTAAAGTGATCACAGTGGTAGTAAAAGAAACTGAAGTTCATTCCTTGCCTCCCACAGCTTCTCATGGCACAGTCACAAGCAGGAGATGAAATCCTGCTCTTCTGCTCTGGCTAACTAGATGATGTGTCCTGCTAGATACAGAAAAAGAGTCTCAGTATGATTAAGGTTGAAACAAGTGTTAAATGATTCATACTGAAAAAGGTGTTGGGCTTTTTATTCACTGCAGTGCAGGGAAGCCTGTGCTCTGCCAGTGGTTGCCCTAGTAGTCTTGGTTTTGCAGTAAAGAAGAAACAAGAGGTATTAAAGACCTGCCATGTGTTGAGATCTCCACTTCTGAAGTAGCAGATCCCCATCCCGTTGGTCAGTAATTTACAGAGTGAGTCCTTCCCTCCCTCAGGCGAGACATGTACAATCCCACAGTATGCACCTCTCCATCAGTCATACAACCCTCTTCATGCACAGTGGCTTTTCTAGACCCAAAACACTACCAAAAACTGTTTTGTTTTGGTTTTTTTCCCTCCTCCAGTTCTGGATCTACTGAGTTTTGATGCAAAAGTTGGACTTGAAAAGGCTGAGATGATGACAGTTCTGACACCAGGTTTGGATGCATCTTCAGCAAGGATGCAGCTCTGAGAGGCTACCAGGCACCAGACTGAGCCCTGACAGGACCAGCCTTCGCCTTGCTGAAGACTTGGGAATGAGATCAGGCAGCGCTGTCGGCGGAGGGGCTCGGGACAAACTGCAAATGACCAATGTGATCTGCAAAATGTCCGCTTTATCTACAAAAAGATACCCTTTATATACTTTTACTACACCCCAGCGCATGATTTCTCTTCTATTATTGGTTACGTGAAAGTGTTCACAATGTAAACATGCCCTTTTGACCACTTCTAATTGGATTATTGGAGGTGTCCACACAAGGTGAGGACATATGTTTAACTCTTGGGACTCCACCTCAATTTTGGCACAGATCCTTCTTTGTTTCAGCTTTAGAGCTTGAAGCCATGATGATTGCGCAGCTTTTTTTACTGTCTGTGCCTGGCCTTGTCAAGGCAAGGCCCACAAAAAATGCAGAGGAAATTTCTCACACAATCCTGCTCTCCCGACACAGTACCTTGCACTTATAGGGGTCTCTATCAATGCAGGAAACTTCTCTATCTATTATGCTCTACAAATAAATATTGCTTATTACAAATGAGCTGCTTCCTGTCCTTTATAAGATGCAGGCAGATGAGCTGATACTCCTGTGGGAATGCCATTACGTGTTCCATTTGAAGAGTGCTTCTGCTGCTGCTTTCCTCCTGAAGCTGGCCACATGTTTATGAACAAGCAGACTTTTCACATAGTTTTGTCTTGTGACAGAGTTTTCTACACCTTCTCCAAACATGTGGGCCTTGGGTCTGTGTATACCAGACTGCCTCATTGCAAGATGAAGTGCAGCAGTTCCTGTATACGTACCATGACTTTTGTGGGGTTTCCACCAACCACACTGTTCAGACAAAGGAGGCTGAAGTAGCTACTTTGCCACCATATAATACTGAGCTCTTACAGCATCATCAGTAGCACGTCTCATACTAATAATGTAGAATATTGTTCTGTGGCCTAAATTAAGTCTTCCATCTTCCTTTTCCTCAAGTTATAATTGGCAAATTGATGAAAGATCGCAAAACGTCTCCCTTGAACTTTCCATCTGACCCTGCTGCTTGCCAGCAGCTGGCAGGGTTTGGAAAGTGAGGAGGTTCGGGGCCCGGGCTGGTGGCACAGATGTGGTTGTGGCTGCAGCTGTGGTGTATTGCATGCCTTCCCTTATCCTGTGGCACGCCACAAGATGGACCATGTCAGTGCTAGCTCAGGGCAGGCTGCAGTCACAAAGCAGGTGCGTGACATGCCTTGCACTCCAGCAGTGAGCACATGCCATACCCCTCACTGCTCGCTTGAGGTAACTGTGTTCCCCCTTCACTGCAGCTTCCCTTGTGTGGGCCACAGAGCCTTGTGAGTGGCATAAAAACATACACAGCTGTAAGAAAACTTGTCAGGGAGGCGCAACTCTGTGTCAGCTCTTTACTGTGTTGTATTTTCCAATCCATATTCAACCTGGCTACAGAATCATAGAATGGCCTGGGTTGTAAAGGACCTTAAAGACCATCTAGTTCCAACACCTCCACTAGAGCAGGTTGCATGTTTAATTTCTGAATTTTGAAATGGAATTAAAACTTTATTATGATAACCTTAAATGTACTGTAATAAATTGTGGCACCTCTTGATCTTCATGATTCTATACATGAGATCAAACTAAAATTTAACTGCTAGGAAGAATGTTGGGAGATAAAAATACTCTGCAAAAAGATCAAAGCAGTTGATAGAGAGGGCAAAATTGCACATACAGGGATAAAAAAAAGCATCAGTCAGAGACTGTGACTTGGAACTATGCCAAATCTGGAACCAGTAATGTGGAGGTGAGGTCCTGCAGTGGGTAAGTGAGAATGAAAAAGAGAGAGATTAAAAGGTAAATAAAGAGGGAGTGAAACAAAACTGTGTGATTTTTTTTTCCAGTACTGCTTTCTCGGCCTCATTCCTTGAAATAATCATTAAACAAACTTTGGCTCTGCAAAAAATTTAGAGCTCTTCAAAGACTCTTAATATATTCTGATATGTAGCTCTATATTATCTCTTTAGAAAACGGACTTTTCTGAAAAGCATCTTGTAAAAGTTAGAGTCAAGGGGACAATTCACAGTGAATAATTTATTCAGCATATTTTGTCTCATTTTTAATTCTCATGTTATCCAGGAGGCAATTATGATTACTTTGAATATGTTGGAGTTTACTCACAAAAGGGCTCTAAGGGAATTATTTTTAGACTGGATGTATGACTGAACATGATACTTGCTACTTGATCTCTGTTAGCCAGTTATTATTAGAGTCAGGCAACTATTCACAGTAGAACTAGACACAACTTATTTAAAAAATGCAGTCTAATTTCTGTTTACAAATTATCCACAATGATGTCAGATTTTTGTGGGATTCTTCATGTTTCACCACCTATGACCATACATGCAAATAACCAGGAAAGACCTTCAAATAATGGTAATATTTGGTATTAATTTCTTCTCATCCCATCTTTGCAGCACTGTATCAGCTTCCTGACCAGATGATGAGAATCATGTATACTCTGTTTAAAATAGTTAATTATCAGCTAATATTCATAAATGTTCAATTAATCTGCAATTCTGACAACAAAGAGAAGGCTACTTCCTGTGAAAATTCTCCTGCAAGCATTTACTGACCACTCTTCATCAACACCTTGTGAATGTCCCCATGAATATGATTTGCTTTTTGACATGTTTTCAACCATTCTCATGAAAGGAAGTTTGGATAACAAGCAGCGAATCAAAAGTTTTTACACGCAAGTGCCTCTGGTCTTCAGTGGGCCATGCTATTGTGATATGATATGCAGCTATGGTTGGCTATATAGCTAAGGAGATACTGTTCCTATTCCCTGGCCAGTCAGTAATGGCTTTATCTTGTTTGGGAAGCTGCAGAGGAAAGATTCTACCTGAAGACACTGTAGTCTTTCCCAGCTCTGCTCCAGGGCCTTCTTGAGCCCAGTGTAAGGCTCTCATGGAGCCCTTAATCCCTGTTCATTAACTGAGGATCAGTCATTCTGTTGGGAGAATATCAATGTGAGTTGGAAGAAGATTAGTGTCAGCTCCGACCTATTGCCTTCAGGTGAGTCTGTGGCCTCAAGTGAGGTTCGTGAAAGCCTTGTTTTTCCTCCTGATCCTCAGCTTTTCTGCTATTCGTGTGTCTCCAGTATGTTTCAGAAGTAAATATTTTCTCTGGAATACCTCTTCTTATACTTCCGAAAAAAGATGAAGCACATTCGGAAAAAAACTCTGCAGCTTTCAGAGCAGCAGTAAAAGCTGACAGGAATAGATGTTTCAGCTGGGTAATGCTGAGAACATCAAGGACGCAGTTCTCTGTTGAAAGGAATAAGTGGATGCTTGTAAGAAGGCGGCAGACTCATAGAAGTATAAAGGCACCGCATACTTTATACTGGATGTCAACTCCCTCCAGATGCTGCTTGGGGTTGGCAGCAGACAATGCTTTCAGCCTCAGGTGACTCTGCAGCTGGCGTTGCCCTGCCCATGTGCAGAGAAGCTGCAGATGTCCCCACCTGACGTGGCACTGCTAGGCATTTCAGAAGGCTTCTCTTGTTTCTTGTCTACATGGCCAAGCTAGGCCCAGCTATTGGAGTGGCTGCAGTAAATACCCTGCCATCGAAGAGAAACAGGTGGCTTATGCTGTGATGGGAAAGCAGAAGAAAATGCTTCCTGGCATTGGTTTAGCAGGTAAGTTTACCAAGTATCAACATTTATGGAAGTTCTGATTTGTGAAGTATATTTCAGAGGTTGCACATGCCAAATCCCCATGAGAACGAGTCAGTGCTATTACTTGCAATGGAGCAGTACCAGGGGTATGTTCACACTGTGTGTCTTCCTCAGCAGATGAGACATGGGATGGGTGTTGGTGGCCAGCATATCCACCCACAGCATCACCACCTTAGCCCTGTAGACAGGTGAATAAATATGAATATGTTTAGGAAAAATATAAATTCATATACACCTCTGTTTTCTATTTAAAAAGAAACTAAGCAAGAAACTCTGAAGCCAATGAGACAATGCTTCATTTATTAGTGTGGTTGTTTGTAAAAAGGGTGAATTTCACATGAAATACGAACAACAGTTAATGATGAGTTCAGTAAACATAAAGAAGACTTCCATTTGCCTTTGTTTCCCCCTGTGTGCCCATGCTTTATATTAGAATACATCTACAATAGTTTTGTTAAGACACTTGGGTTAGGTTCTACTAAATGTCATTATCACCTTTGCAGACGTGTCATAGTTTGCTATCTCTTCTATAACTTCATGAAGATCTTTACATATGTCATACTTCTTTCCCCTGGTAATTAATGGATGAAAATGAGAGAGCTTCACCTTGCTGTCCTCTGAGAAAAAAATCACAAATTTCATGGTAGGTCAGTTTTACAAACTGTTATTTCTCAAAGGGAAGCATTCTTAGTAGAAAAAAACCCCGTCTGTTCTAAAATTACTCCAGAAAGTCAAACAGAATGATAAGCTAAATGAAGTTTTGATAGAAGCAGGTGCCTTGCCATGACAGTAGAACTTTTTAATTGCTTCTGTTGAAATAGTACTTCTATTGAAAAATTAGGTCTGTTTAAGTAAGTAGAATTATAGTAATTTCTGAGGCTAAACTGCACTTAGGGACAGGAAAATGCTTACTCCAGCCTGGTGCACATGAACACAGCAACAGTGAACACGAGGGTGGGTGGCAGGCTCTTCAGGATGGAAACTGCAGAGGAAGCTTTCTTATGAAAGCACAGGCCAATATGCTTTCAAGGAAGCTCCTGCTTTGATGAATTCTCCTTCTTGTCTTGTTATTCAAATACTCCAAGCTAGACTGAAGTTTCAGCCCAGGAAGTGCTGCTAAGACATTCTGTGTGGTCAGCTGTGATGCCCCAGCCCCTTAACCTAGCCCTGAGCTCCCCCTGGGACCACTGAGGGACAGGGGACAGGAACAGAAGGATGTGTATTTGTAGTGCTGGCTGATCTTCTACTGCAATTGCACACAGGGGTTATTACAAAAGGCTTGAATTCAGCTAAACCTTTATCAAAATATGAATTAGTACTTCTGGCTGATTTCTTTTAACTTTTGCCCCAGTCCCAGTGTCCCCTATGTCCTGCTACCCTTGTCTCCATGGCACAGAGAGATGAACTGGAGTCATGGGCTGAGAGATGGGGTCAGACAATCAGTTCCCAAGGAGCTGGTTCCCAAGCCAGTCCTTCCAGCTTGGGACTACCCTGTCTGTCCCAAACTGCCCCAAACCACTGCAATACCCAAATTATTCACTGGGAGACTTTGCCTTGAGGCAACTGCAACAGCTCTATTTCTTTAATGATTTTAATGGTCAGAATTGCGCCAGGTCAAGCCATTTAACTGTGTATTTAATTAGTAATCTGTATGCATGCAACTTAAAGGCATTCAGCTGTGTTATTTTATAGGGATTAACTAAATGGGCAGTAAATAATCTATGCCAGCAATAAAAGTATTTATAGTGGTGCTCTTTTTTTTTCTGCCTTTTGTTTTTTTTTGGTTTTGGGTTTGGGTTTTTTTGT